GATTGTATCTCCCTCCCATAGTAACTTTCACATCTTCCAGGATACATTTCTGTGTTCAATATTAGGAAGAAAAATGTGCTAGTATCATTTCTGTTGCTGGTTCTAACTTCAACTCAGTGATTACTTCCCTAGAATCAAAATTTCACAAAATTCTGGTAACAAGTAGTTTGATCCAATGGTTTCAAAGTCATTCTAATTTTAAAACTCACAGTTGTGGTGATATCTTTCATTCTTGTCATTGCATCTAGACATAATGTGGGACTGTATTGAGAAGGTCAAGAATAGACCTCCTTTTATCTAAAAAGGACTTTGATTGCTGAGGAAATGATGTAACCATGGATTTTTAAAACTAATTTATCTGCCTAAAATCAAGAGGTTTTGAAAGCTAAAAAGTGAGTTGTTTTGAAGAAGAAAGGAAGAGACTCTTAAAATTATGGACTAAGAATTAAAATCTTTCAGTAATTCAGATTCAGAAAGATTTACAGGCTGAAAATAAGAATAGGAATATTACTTTTTGTATTCTTTTTAAATGTCCATTCTATTTCTAATATGCTTTAATAATCATGAATACGTGCTCTAACAATAAGAGGTAAAGATAGCCCACATAAACTGTAGCTAAGTAATTATCTTAGCTCGCTGAAAATTAAATCTCTTTAAAAATAATTATCCATGTTTACATTCCTGAAAAGTGATCATTGAAATGTATACTGTTCAAACTAAGGAGATGTCTTTGTTAGTGTTTCATAGACTGAAAGCTATATTTTCACTTAGTGGGAGACAGAAAATCTGCACTAAATATATACCAGACTTTAAAACATCTTCACTAATAAGGTTCCTAAAACCTGTTGATATCTTCAGCAGAGTAGGGTTCAGGTTTTCTCTGAAATGGGAGCTTGACAAGAATATTTCTCTGTGCTCTGAAACATCTTCTAGTCAATTGCTATGTTAACAGTATAAGCTACTGATAATGATTCTGTTGCTCACTCTCCAGTACTGAAGCCCTGTAAGTGGCTTTTGAAAACTAATTAATTAAACATGAGTTCCTTTGAACTTTGAAAAATCTTCTTATGTGGTCCCCAAAGAATTCCTAGAAAGCAAAGTAATATATGGAAAACTTGCATTATGCAGCCAGATTATCAGCAGAATGTAAAGGTTATATTTAAATCTCCACCTAATGCTGAATATTCTAGTCTTTGATTAACATCATTCAAGTAAAAGATTTGACAGATGTCAATATAAGACTGAATTGTCTTTTTCATTCTTTATATAGGAAGTTTTCTTGGTGAAAACTTTTATGGAAGTTAACTGAATTTTTTTTTTGCTTTTATTTAAGGAAAAGAAAATCATAACAAGGGTAATGAATTTTTTCTTGCCGATAATACTGAAGGCATATGTTTGTAAATATATGTATGATCTTGTAATAAAACATCCATATTTGATGTCATCCACAAAAATGAGATTTATTTTTACAATTAACTAACTTTAGTATGGTAAATATTGAAAATAAAATTTTTCTCTAAGTATATGAGGTTTAGTTTTCACATATTTAATAAAGAAGGAGTCAATCTTTTGACTACATGAATGTGTCAATATTAATTCTGCAATATGAATGCAAATTAATATAAAATATAATTTCATTGGGAGGATGGGGAGATGTTGAGGATTTTGCAATTTTAATTTACCTTCTTTTTCCATAGATGTTAACCCTAATCTAGGTGTCTTCCCTAAAGTTAGAAGATTCTGAGCTGACAGGGAACAGACTGTCAACCAGGAAGATCTGCAGTCTGCCTGCACCTATAATACAAGCAATTGGAGTTAGAAGCTATATATGCTTTGAATTCCTATTACTATTTTTTCTTGTGCGTTTCAACTCTCACATCTGAGCCAAAATGATTTGACACATAAAAATGAGCATCCTTCAAAAGTGTATAGAATCCAGAAAAATTTTGATTCATAAGAATAACAACAAAAAAGAAACATGGCATATTTGAATTGCTGGAGGAGAGAGGTGGCAACAAGAGTAATAAATAATCAAAAGCTTAATGAGATTCAAATGCATATCATAAATTATTTCCTGTACCTAAATACTAATATTTCCTAACTTACTCAATAGATAAATTAATCACACTTGAATTCTGAGTTAGTGGCCTTGAACTTTGATGGCAAGGAATATCTCAAAACAGAGTAAAAGGACATATGACAAGAAAGAATGAGGAAAATTATTAAAAATTTAGTGAATATATCCAGAATATTTGACATAGGGATCACAATGTTTCAGAAAAGAAAATGGTTAATAAAAATAATAATTAAGTTCATAATGGAAGATTTTCCTGAACTGAAGAAAGAAGTCAGCTTATATACTGAAACAAAACTGAACCAGGTTAATTGGGATGATAAGATAGCAATCCATGCATTAGAAGAAAAAAATATATATATCAATTACTAAGGTGAAACAACAAATTAACTTCAGAGGATAACAAGTCAAGCTGCCACTGGAATCCTCAACTGCTAAAAGTTAGGAAAAGGAGGTAGAGTTTTCAGGAATCCTACGCTCATCTTAATCACCATTCTTCTATCAAGGTGAAAGTAAAGTATTTAAAACTAGACAATAATTCAAAGACTGCGTGTGCCATATGAAAGTGCTTGAGAAAGGCATTTAACCAAACAAAAAATGGTAAGAAGACAGACATAATTATGAGATTATAACCAGCTGTGTAATGTATCAAATCGATGCCAAATACAAATTGGTTTGTATTTTTTAGGTACTCAGAAATATGGACAGACTAAGTGATAAATCACATTAAAATGTAATTTTAATTTTTCAGCATTCCTTCAACAGGATAGTTTTTATGATGTATAATACTTAAAGGCATAAATAAAAGAACGAATAGTAATATATTGATTGATGCCAAATATGAAAAAGAAAAAAGGCATTATGAACTATGAAAATTGCAAAGATTTGCTACATAGCATTTGTCTTTAAAAAGTGATGTGTTTTCTTCCTGTACAAATTTTTTAAAATGTAAAAATGTTATCATTCTAAGTTTTTAAAAATAAAACTCAAGAAAGTGTGAGCATAGTCTAGGAACTATATAATTCATTGCATTTTAAAACAACATTTTATTTTTTTTTTTGCTTAGAGTGAAATTCTGAGGGACAATTGCACTAATAACAATAATTCTGTCAAAAGAAAGCAAGTATAACATTTTATATGTAATTGCTTTTTTTCTTAAAAAGAGAAGAAAAGATTACACAATTTTTGAATGAAAATTCATTTTGTGTGTGTTTATGTAAAAACATGTCTTTACAAAAGAATTCAAATGAAATACATTTATTAGGCAAACAAATGTAAGAACTGTGAAGGATCTATTAAAAAATAAATGAACTGATAAATGAGCTAAAGCTTTAAATTGTTTCTCAATAAAAATAATCTATGTTTCT